CCCCCCCGCCCGCCGCGGCGGGCGCCCCCCGCAGGTCTTCCGCCGAGACGCGGCCGTCGCCGTCACGGTCCAGCGCCTGGGCGCGTGCGGGGATGTTTGACCGGTCAACGCGGGTCGCATGGGGCGGCAGCTGCACACAGCAGGCGCGACTTCGATCGATCGGGCTTCAGGGGACGCCACCGTGTCCACTCCAGCCGCGGGCTGCCGACCCTCGTTGCCCTACACCCACGCACACAACCACCCACACTGGCCATCATGGCAGGCCCCTGGCCCGGCCCCCAGCCCACCTGGAAGGCCACCCGGAGGTTGGCTGGGTCGCGCAGCCTGCTGCCGTGCAGCATGGCTGCCACAAACTCGTGGCGGCCCATCTCGCCGCTATGCTGGCCGGCGGCACCCTGGGGGGGGGGGTCGTCGGCGGGGGGCGCCCGAGCAGAGCTTGCGCATGGGTGCGCAGCGGTGCGGGCTGTACATATGCCGGGTGCGCTGGGCAAATGGGGATGAAGGACGATGGCGTGGGTGCTGGTTGCGGCTGTGTGCTTCAGGCTGCGGGCAAGGCGGTGTGCTGGAGGGAACCACTGCATTGGTCCGGCTGGCGCCGCCGCCCTGAAGGGGGGGACCCATGCTGCCTAGAATCCGGAGGCGGGAGGCCGCTGCTCTCCCTACGCAAGCGCAGGCCGCCTGCCGCACCCCGGAGGCCATGAGCCGCTCCAGCTCCCCCGCCGGCGGGGTGCACCCGCGCGCGTCCAAAGCCTGGCGGCGGCGGAGGCGGCAGCGGCGGCGCGATGCGATAAGGGACAGGCGCGGAGTCGTGAGTCTGTGACGAGTCATGGATGACCAACAAGGCGTCACCGGCCCGCCGCGGCGACAACAGACACTGGCCCGTCAGCCTGGACGTGGCGCGCGCGGCGCCAAAGCCGCCAACCGGGCAGCACACGTGCAACACCGCAACGCAGGGTACCCCCATCCCTCCAAAACACGAAAGGGTCCCAAAAGCGCACCGCTCGAAGCTCGTCCGAGGAGAGGCTCCCGTTGCCGTCAAGATCGATTGCACTGAACAGCTCTGACAGGCCCCGCGTAACATCCGCGGGCAGCGCGCGTGCGAGCGCCTGGCGCACGCATTGTGTGTGTGTGTGTGTGTGTGTGTGTGTGTGTGTGTGTGTGTGTGTGTGTGCGTGCGTGCGGGCGCGCGTGCGTGCGTGCGTGTGTATGCACGCACGCACGCGCGCGCGTGTGTGTTATGGGGGGTTGATACGTTGAGCTGGACATCAACAATGGCACGTAACGAGTGTGCCTCACACCACTGTGCGGAGCCACGAGCCGCCGCCGCAGGGCCCGCACGGGCCGTGCACCGGCGTCCGGCTAGGGGCGGCTCACGCACCAGCGCGGCGTGGCGCTCCAGCGCCCCCTTGGACGCAAACGCGCGCAGCCTCGACAGCAGCTGCGTGGTTTGTGCGGGGTTATGGGTTTTGGGGGGTTGATGTATGAAATTGGTGGCGGGAAAGGGCTGGGATGAGGGCCGTATAAAGCTGTCTGCTGGTTACAAGGTTAAGAAAGACGAATTTCAGCCGGCTGAAGGAGCGACTCCAGCTGGCACCAAGGCCGCTGCTCGAAGGACAGGCGGCCCCCTTCATGAACATGTTTGTAGAGTTGTGCCTTCCTGAAAACGTGATCTCATGCACAACCAACCGCCCACACGCGTGACAACAATCCCTCGGCCCCCGGCGCCGCCCCCTCTTCCCCCCTTCAACGACTCACCTCCGGCTCGGGCTCCCCCACTAGCCGCGCGTGCACGCAGTGTGGCGCAAACGGCCCCGCCGCCGGCGCCGGCGCCGCGCCCGCCAGGCCGAGCCACGCGTGCCGCAGCATCTGGCGCGCGCTGGGGCGGCGCGTGGGGAACCAAGACATCATGGCGCGCACGGCCGCCTTGGCCTCTTCGCTGACAGACGGCCAGGGTGCGTCGGTCCTGCGGGCAAATGATGCGCAGGCAAAACGGCGGGCGGGGCCTGTCTTGGATGCCTTGTTGAAACCAGGGCGCGCCGGCTGGGCACCGCGCGGGGGGCAGGCACCAAACAAGGTGCCAGGGGCGACGACGGCAGGCGCGGAGGCGCAGCCGCCGCCAGGCCTGCCGGGGGCTGTGGAATGACCGCAGAAGCGCCGCGTCGCGCCACCAAGCGCCTGGGCATTCCCACCTGCAAGCCACTGCCGCGCCCCCATTCCCGCCAAAGCTGCCACCCTCGATGCGTCCGGCTCACCCCTCGGCCGGCCCCGACAAAGCGCCCCAAGCACCCGATCCTTCACAAACCACAAGATTGCACGCGACCCTGACCCCAGGCCGGAACCAATCTTCAAACCCCGCCCTCCTCCAGAGCGCGCCGCGACACCCACGCACGCACATCTCGGGGAGTGCGCCGTCCATGATCTGCCTGAACACGTCGTCCGTGGTCGCCGCGCGGAAGGGGGGGCGGCCGCAGAGCAGTATGTAGGCCACGACGCCGCAGCTCCAGACGTCGGCGCGCTCGTCATACAC